GCTCATAAGTTCCTCCAGAAAAACGCTTCGCAGATATGGAAGGCAAATTTGGAATCAGCGTCTGAAACTGCATCTACTAGTATACATCGCTTCTCGGATCGTCACTTCGACTAATTATCCTTCCCTTGTTAGTAAAATCAGTATTCATATCTAAAGGCCACAAACCCTTTTCCTCCCAAATGGACCTCTTTTCCTTGCGCTGCCATCTCTGCTTTGAACTTCTCAAACATTGCTTTGAGTTCGGCTGGAGGTTTAGCACCTGCAGTCTCGAATGCTCGACACACTTCTCCAGCCATACGCTCCTGATCTAGAATCATTGCTAAATTCGGATAACTTTTTTGTAAAATTCCTTAGAAACTAATTTGAGAGCGAAGAAATATGGTAGGTTAAAGAAAACCGCTAAAATGACAATCCAATCCTTCTGTGTGAGATGCACCAACTTCCGTTCAATGCAAAACAATCAAGCGTAAATTCACAAGAACTATCTCCGCTGTACAACCCAAGCACAAATCTTATAACATCTTCACTATTAATCTTATCCATAAGCTAACCAGATGGGTTTCTGGAGAACAGGAACAACTTTCTTGTTTTTTAAATTATGAGATATTCAAAACTTGCCTATAGAATGCTCAAAGAATCTAAAGTCGGTTATGAACAATTACTTCCCGACATCTAGCACTCTAATAGTAGATGGAAATATTAAGCTTAAATTTGACGAACACTTAAGTTTTTGTTATTAGAGTAGAAACACTCCAAACATACGTTCTGGAAGGATGAAGGTATACGCATAACCTTTGTTACCGGCTCGTCCAGTACGTCCAACCTCAAAGAACAGAGGGTATTTCTCAAGAAGATATAAGTGAAAAAAAGAACTACTCAAGTACCCTATGCACGTAGTCTTCATAATGGTTAGGACAATCGTAATTCACGACTAATATAAGATTCTTGACATCGAGACCGCGTGCAGCAACAGAAGTGGCAACCTGGGAACAATTGCTATGTCGTTAGAAGTATCAGAAAAGGGAACACTTAATAAAAGAAAACCCACCAATATCTTTATGTTGCCAGACTTAAAATCCGTTATTGTAGAGTCTCTATCAAACTGGTCAATTCCTCCGTGAAGTGGAGCGCAAGAGTATCCATTCCGCATCAGTTGGGCAACGATATCATCAGCCTTAACATAAAAGGAAGATTAA